CCAGCAACATTCTGGAAGCTAGGGTCAAGTCTGCGCCGCACTGGATCTTTTTTGGCCAAAGCTTCGGCTTTGGCCAGGGCTTTCTGTAACTTTGCCTTGGCTTTCTCAACGGCCACCTGGCTTGCTTCCTGCTGCTTCTCCATTGTTTTCTGTTTTTTCTCTTCCAGTTTCAACTTGGCTTCCTGCTCGACTCTTCGCTTCAAGTCCCGTTGGTGCTCCAAGTTGAACTCCTGTGTCGCCGGGAGACTTGCTTTCGCTGCGCATGCCACAGCTGGGTCAATGGAGGGTGGGCAAGCAAAGCCATGTTCAGGTTTGCTTCTTTTCTTTTGCTTGTTGGGAATCTCTGCAGGTTTTGGCGACGGAGGCTCTGCGCACGTGGACTGGTTGTCCAGCAGGTCTGGCAACCGATACACGATCTTTCCTGTCAACTTGTCAACCATAGGCACCATTTCAGAGTATGGGTTGGTGACCCAAGACTTGTCAACTGATTCCTCAGGCATAGTCTCAGCATGAGGTGTGGCACCAGCATCGCAGGGGGATGTGTCAGGAACATCGCAAGGAGACTGGTCAGGCACAGGTCCAATCCCACTGCCCACAACAGGCACGGAGGATTTGTTCGGCCCCTGCCCAACCCCAGACATAGGAGCATCACAGGTTGGTTCCTCAGGCATAGACTCCATCACAGCCACTGTCTCACCAACATTGGAAGGTGATATGTCAGGCACAGGTCTAGTCACAGAGGATTTGCCAGGCCCAGTCATAGCAGCATCGCAAGTTGGTTCGTCAGGCACGTCAGGCACAGGTCCAATCCCACTGCCCACAACAGACACAGAGGATTTGTCAACCCCAGTCATAGGAGCATCACTGGTTGGTTCGTCAAGCATAGACTCTGTCCCAGCCCCTGTCTCACCAACATTGGAAGGTGATATGTCAAACATAGGGTCAGTCTCATCAAGTGCCTGGTTAGCATCGTAGCCAAGAGTGTCCATGACATCCATGTAGCTGTTTTCATAGCTCACCGCCTGACAGATTTCAGAGCTTGCAGCCTCTCACATGGAAAGGGTATACAAGATGGATAATTATTGTACTAAACCAGTAGACACCTGGGATAGTGCATATTTTCCTATCAGTCCATATATCTGTGTCATGATATGCATGATTGATCCCTTCTAGTGTCACCTTCACACAAGTCATGCGACATTCTCACTCAGCATACTGATATATCTCATGGCACCAGCACGCACCACAGATGGCCTGGGCGATACCAATCAGATTGCATCCACCAAACTAAAAAGCCAAGTGACCTGCAGAAGCTCCAGGTCACGCACAGGAAAGGCTTCACCCGCAGGATTTGTGGACACATCCACCTCAGCAGCCAAGCACAAGAGGCGAAAGGGCATATACAGGTACCAAGGTGTAAATACCGATGGGTTGCATGTGTCAAACGAATTACAACACCAAAGAAGATCAGGTACTTCTTTCGACACGGCATTTGGTGGTCCATCAAGGTCCAGCTCACCCTTGATCTCCATTATCTCATCATGATGGCCATCAACCAAATTCACACTCACAATGACAGGTTCGTCATCATACTCGATAGGAAGGTGTTCGTAATCCTGACCAAAAAATGTTTGATTTTTGATTTCACGTTGGGAATCAGCAATAGAACAACAAAAATGATTTGACAGGTGCTGAACCAGTCAATCATTCCTCCTCAGGATCGATAGAGTTGAGAGCATCGGCAGTCCCTGCCGCCACCTGCAAACCAAATGGAAAAAGTACATTCTGACATTGATACCTTTCCATAATTTAGGAAAACCACGCCACAAGGTTTTCATTGATGGTGGTGTCAATAAAGAAAAACAGCCCCTACCTGATGCTTGAGTTTGATTGACCTGAAGGAGAGCACAATGTTCTTCAGCACCTGGATCTTGTCGCTCCTTCCATAGCCAAACAACCTACCCTAATTGAAAAGCTGCAGAGGTTGTATTGCAATGCGCATACCGGTTACTAAAAATGGTAAAATTATCATCGTTGACTCTGACTCATCCCCAAATACAAGACACCACAACTCCAGCCCTCCCACTCCTCGCTTTCTCTGTGCGGTTGGTCAGTACTACCAAGTGGGTGATCATCTTCCTCAGACGGAGAGCTTCCACATTGCCCCACTCCTTGGAACACAGTAGGTCTCCACTAAAGGGCATTGAAATTTCAAATGTACAGGTCTCTGTGTATCAGGAAAATATCGCAATACAAAACTGCAACACAATTAACATTGAACTGAAGCTGAACCTGAGTTTCACGAATCACGGATTTGCCCCCCTTTCTCTGGAGTTCGTCAATATGATAGTTCAGCCGAAGGGACAGGAGGAGAAAAGCACTTTCGAAATCAAACAAGTTGGGCACCTCTTTCTCCCATTTAGTACCCAACCAATGCTCCCACAGAGCATAGACCACATCCCGGACCAACTCATAATTTTTTTCAAGGTCGTTTTCATCAACAGCTGCTCGATCACGTGCACACCACTGAACAATGGACCTGGTTTGATCCAGTTTTATGGTTTCAGCATGCTTGTTGACATAGGTCTTCAAGGCCTCGAATAGCTTCTGTCCCACCACCTGAACAGAGTATCACATGTTTTGTGAGTATGGTGGCCTTGCATGTTTTTTTGACAAGGACGTGACAAGTTGTAGGGGGAATGATGCACAGTGGTCCACCCACACTGAATGCTATCAAGTAACTGTGACCTTAAACTTCATTGGCTTGGACACCTGGATATTCCCATTTTCCAACTTGTCCTCCACCACTATTGGGACTGATGATGGCCGCTTGACAAATGCCATTGCCAAGGTGAGTAGCGAGCACAGCCACAAGTGCAGTGCACTGATGATCCAATGCACAGCTGCAATGAGAGGGAGCGGGCTGTATGGTGGAACCCGTTTTTTTTTTTTTTTACTAGTGTCACTTCCAAGATCACGCCGAGAAGTAAATATAAATCAAAAAGCATATATGCATGCTTGTGCATGTGATAAATGCTTTCTGATCATGACATGACGCAGTTCAAACAAGAACTTAAGCAGCAGGGTGTCGGGAGGGCGCACCTCTCAAACAAGAAGTTCTCAGAAGCCCCATTGCGCTTTCAGCGAAGCAAGGGACATGTGTAGCCAGCAGATGTTCAAATCCTCTCGGTCCTATGGATATCTTTCATTGATTTCCATTCCGAAAATAAATAGACATTTTCACATACCCCGAAGAGGCATTACCCCATAGGTTTAATTTCAACCATTACTGGGAAATATTTGAGCCATGTTTCTGGGGTATGTCCATAACTTGATATATGAACATATTCCATGAAAAATCATACTGAACTGATTTGAAGGTTCAACTCCCTAAGGACCCAATCCCATCATGTCAAACATTTTATCGTTGGAGGTTGTAGCAGTATAATCCTCAGTAGGCTTTTGGATCCCCATGGGGGTGTTTGTCACCAAACAGTTTTCTTCGCTTGGAAACATGGATGGTTCTAATGCCACCTGTCATCCCAACCCCTTGCCTTCGGGCCAGCGCAGCCCGTCCAAAGCAGCATCCAGGAGGCAAAACAAGTGGGCTGGGTAAACACTGAATCAAACATCATCAATTTCAATAGAGAAATGGCCTTATGTATAAAGATACTGCAACAGCCATTCTTACATCTCATCAGCACGGTTTTCGGGAATGTTGATGTTTGAGACCATTCTGACAGAATTTTGGTTTGGGCACATGCTCACAAACCACTTACACAAACACAAGCTGATCATATGTTTGGATCCCTAGGGATATATATATATAATATTGATTAAACCATTCAAACAAAGATATATTTATATAGTTTATTTTTTGGGCATCATTTTCATTGGCCGATTTCTCATCTAGAATCGGTAGGCCTCATCATCAAAGGGCCTAATTGGGTTTGTCTGCAAGTGGGGTACTGTACCTTATTCCATCCAATGGTTCATCTCTATTAATCATCATTTTCTCACTTAAAATTACCCTTTTTCAACCCCGATAAAATCCCTATAAAATCCGGACAATATCCCTATAAATCCATGTAAATCCCAGTTTAGGACATTTTGGGACTAAGTTCAGATCTTCCCATTTTCACCAATCCATTCGTCAGAAATCTCTGACAGGCTCACCCAGCGCTTGCGTGAGCACAGCTTCAACAGCATGGAACCCACCAGGAGGCTTGCTGTGGGTTGGCGATTCTTTTTTTTTTTTGCAAAAACAGTGGAGTTACCAAGAGACATGGGGATCTCAGCAAGCAAAATGGCGGATTTCCGCAGCAAGCAATATGGGTTTGGACCATTGGACCACAGATCTTGGAGATTTTTAGGCAATGGACCATTCACACATTGGGATAGCAGCTAGGGAAGTGCCCCAAAAGAGATGATCGTCCCAGAGGTGCATGTCGTTTATCACGCAGTTGATTCTGGGGTTTTTTTGAAGGGACTCCAAGGAAACCAGGTAGTTTAAGCACCATAAATGAGAGTACCCTCTGGTAAACTAACATAACTATGGAACATCAACATTTTTCATGGGAAAACTCACTATTTCTATGGCCATTTTCAATAGCTTTTTTGAGAAACATCAAACGTATGACTCACTGCATGGCCACATGTGCAAGGATGACTGCACAAATCAAGAAGTGTAACATGACATGCAAAGCATGTTGGACCACTGCGTACCGCAGCCCCTTTGGCAAAAAGCACGGCAGCTTCGCATGGCAGCGGAGCCACGAACCAGTGGCATCTGCTTGCCTTGAGCTCTCGTTGGAGCCATAGCATCAGGGAGTTTGTGGGCAAGGCTTCTCAACTAGTGATAGCATTGCTTGGAGATCTACTTGTACTTGCCTGCGTATAACCTGATTCTTTGTTGCGCATTTTCCTGGACATCTTTGCCGAGCCTTGGGAGCAAACCTTCAAAGCTGAACACTGTCAACCGGGTGTACTACGTATTCAGGATGACAACACTGGATGCAGCGACCTTACAGTCCTTGTTGCAGGAGGTAACCAATGCAGCTCGTGCAGCAGCAGATGCAGCGAAGTCGACAGCGACCTCGAGCCCTACATCGAGTAGCAGTGTGGATTGGTCCAAGTTGCTGTCAAAGCCAAGCAACTTTGACTACAAGAGTCAAGAAGAAGAGATTCGCCACTTCAAAGATTGGTCTTGGCAGATGTTCAATACGTTTCAGCCATAGACCAGGGGTACTCCAAGGAGTTAGCAGACTTGGAGGCGGAACCTGGGAAACCAATGGACATGGCGACTGCGAGTGCTTCTACCAGAGAAAGGAGCACCAAACTTTATGGACTTCTTGCAGGGCTGATGAAAGGTCGAGCACTTCAGACGGTGAAATCTGTAGCCAATGCAGATGGTTATGAGGCATGGAGGCAATTGCTTGTGAGTTTGAGGCCCTCTACACGTGGTTGAGGACTTGCGCTGATGAGTGCAATCATGGCATGGCCCGAGTTCAGCATGAAAACAGCGTTGCAACCGCAGTTGTTGAGGCTGGAGGACAGTTTCATGGAGGCTGAAAGAGCAGGTGTCAAGGTGCAGGATGAGGTCAAAGTTGCAGTTGTCCTCAAGTGCATCACAGGGCAACTCAGAACCCATGTCAACTTGCAGCTGTCAGAAGGGATGTCTTACAGAGACTTGAGAGAGGTCTTGTTCAAGTACGACAGAGCGCAGCAGCGCTGGGCCCACCTTGTGCAGACGTCTGATGAGACAGCCATGGAGATCGACAGAGTTCAGGACAAGGGCAAAGGCAAGAAAGGTGGGAAAGATGGCAAAGGCAAAGGAAAGAAAGGCAGAGATGAGAAAGGGAAGTCAAAAGGCAAGTCTGGCTCATGGCAGTCAGGAAAAGGCAAGAAAGGCGAGAGCAAGGGTAAGCAGTCTTGGAACTATGAGCCCAAAGGGAAAGGAAAAGGTCAATCAGATGAGAAGAGGTGTTTCAAATGCAATGGAACAGGGCATTTTGCCAAGGATTGCAGGGTGCGCGTTGTGACTGAGGAGAATCGAGATGAAGTTCCAGGTCATCAACAACAACAAGCACAGGCATCAAGCAGTCCTTCCAGAACACCATCTTCGAGCACTACATATCGAATTGCGCGCGTGGTGGAAGAGCCCTATGTGACTGAGATCAAGGAGGTTCCAGTCTTTGACATGAGGGAGCTTGGTGGTAATTTTTCAAGCGAAGATAGCATTCGAGCTGTCCACTACTTCATTGGCGATGAGGATGAGACCATGGAGGAGAATGGCGATGAGACCAATTGTCTTGCTGGGCATGAGAGACCTACCAGCATCATCTTGGACTCAGGAGCAGATGCACCTATTTTTCCAGCTTCGTGGATTTGGGCTGGAGAGAGAGTGGATCATGGTGGAGGACATCGTCTTCAAGATGCGCAAGGAAATCGAATTCCCACTTTGGGAAAGCGAGACATCACTGTGGAGCTCAAGGACATCCATGGTGAACGAGTTCAACTTCGAGAAAGGGTGATCATCTCAGACAAGATCACTCAACCAATCTTATGCTATGGAAGGCTGATGGAGAATGGATGGAGTTTAGATGCCCAAGAACAGGTGATGTTCCACAAGGACTACAACATCAGAGTTCCTGTCGAAATGCAGAACAGGAGCCTCACTGTTTCAGGTGTCATCAGGTTGATCCAAGAGGCGCCCCACTTCATTAGGATGATGCGAGCCACTTTGAACGATGATTTGAAGGATTTGGACCATGGTTGGCAACGACATCAGTCTGGTTTTGTTGTGGGCTATCATATCAGTGACAGGTTCATGGACCCCTATGAGTACAACCCCAACATTGAAGATCTCTTCAGGACTACGCTGATTCAGTTTGAGGATGGTCATTGGGAGCTTGTGGAGATGATGGAGCAACTTGGAAAAATGGCTCTTTTGGACGTGCAGTTTGACCAACCTGGCATGAGAGGAGTCATCACCATTCTCACTGACGATGATGCGACAGTCCCTGAGGAGCTAGGCTTCAAGTTGGATGGCGAGCTCAACACTGAAGAGAGAAGGCAGGCTGATCATGAAGTTTTGCATGAGATTCCAAAAGCGCCTGAGGACGAGATGGAGATAGCACATGAGGCTGAGATCCAGAAAGCAATTGCAGCAGAGGAGAAAATGGATAAGGTCTTGGTTGAACCCTTTGATGCAGACAAGTTGGTGGTGAATGGCGTGGAGCTCACTGCAGAATCAACAATGGCGAGTTTGAGAGCAGCATGCGGCTTCTACAACCTTTCAACTTCAGGTTCAAAGAGCAAGTGCTACAAGCGGCTGGTCAACTACTTGAAGCAGATGGAGCTGGAGACTGCAAGAGAAGCTGTGAATGCCTATGATCGAGCTCATCGAAGAGAACCCAATTTCCATGTTGCAGCCAACAGACCTTCTGATGATGAGGTGTTGCGCCACAACCTCACCCATTTACCATACCAAGGATGGTGTGAGTTTTGCGTTGCACATCGAGCACGACCTGATCGCCATGAAAGACAAGATCAAACGAGAGAAGCAACTATGCCTACAGTTTCTTTTGACCTGTGTGTAACAAAGGCACTTGGAGAAGGAGAAGCAGAAGCACAGGTATCTTCGTCACTGTGGTTGATCATGGCATGTTCACAAACAGGTGCAGTTGGTTGTTGTCCTTTGAAAGGAAAAGGCCAAATCAAGCTGGCCACCACAGAGATCATGGGATTTACTCAATCCCTAGGTCATCATGCAGTTTGCTTTCAGACCGACAATGAGCCAACAGTTCGGTCTATCCTCAGATGTCTTCTCAATGCAAGACATGCCCTTGGACTTCCAACAAGAATTACAACCTCCAAGATCTATGATCACTCCAATGCGCTTGCTGAGAATGCGGTGAACCGTGTGCGTGGATTGGCTGGGACATTGATGGAACAGCTACAGAATCGAATTGGAGCAAAGCTGGGGACATCGAATGGCATTTGGAGCTGGGCAGCTAGACACAGCGCATGGCTGCTCAATCGATTCAAACCCATCAAAGGCGTCACTCCTTTTGAACTGGTCAATGGAAGACCTTATAAAGGTCCAATGGCACTTTTTGGCGAACCAATCTTTGCCTACGTCAAGACCCATCTCAAAGGCCAACGGAGGTGGTACAAGTGCATCTTCTTGGGGAAGACAGATGGCCAAGATGCGCACATTGTCTATGACGGGGAGAAGATTTTGCTTTCCAAGTCTGTTCGACGAATTGGACAGGACTGGGGCTTGAGTCTAGGGTTTTACAAGGAGTTTTCCTGTCACTCTTTCAACTACCAGAGTGGATTTGGAGGCAGGATCGTTCCAACAAAGAGAGAAGCTTTGGCGCTCCCCAGTGCGACTTCTTTGATTCCTATGGAGGCCATCATGGTGAAAGCGAAAGACCCAGAGGCAGAGGCAGTTATTAAGAAGGCCATTGAGGAGAACCGAGAAGAAGGAGAGTTGGAAAGAACGAGAAAGCAAGATGAGAAAGCAGCAGCAATTCCATTTGAGGAGGACGAAAACTTCTTTGAGGCACCACCTACAGAGGAGGTGAAAGATGTTTCTGGACAAGTTCAACATTCTCAAGTTGCACCTGGTGATCTTCCTGCAGAAGTTGGTCAACAAGCCGAGAAGGAAAGTTCAGAAGTCATTGCAATGTCAGATGACACACCTTTGGAGGCATTGAGAGGCACAGCAGGGAAGAAGGTGGTCTTTGAGAAGAAGGCCCCAATTCAGCAACAAGTTGGTGCACAACCCCTAAAAGTTCCAACTTCCGGCACTTCAAGCGCTTCGTCAGCATCTATGTCTACTTCCACGAAGGCAACTTCAACAACACGACCTGCAGAAGCAGTAGCAGAAGGATCTCCCATCAAGAAAGCAAAGAGCGAGCCAAGCAAGAAAGCAAAGATGAGGAGAGTTGAGGAGGAGATGGAGTTGAATATCAGGTCCATACGTGTTGGCGAGGAGGAGCTGTTCACAGTGGATGAAGCAGACATGGTGGCAGAAGATCCAATCAAAGGCTATGGCATTGAGGACGAGGTTGAGGAGAACTTTGTTTTGAAAATTCCAGAGTGTCTTTGGTCAAATGTGAGTTTGGATGAGATGCCAGAAGCACCAACTGAGGAGATTGAGCTTGAGGCCGACAGGTTTGAGATCGAAAGGTTGGTGAGAATGAATGTTTTGAGAGAAGCAACAGAGAAGGACGAGAACATTCAAAGGAGCTTGACAGTGAAGTTCGTCAGAGATTGGAGGATCAAAGTAAGGAAAGAAGATGGAGTTCAGGAGAAGAAACAGTGGTTGAGAAGGTCGAGATTGGTGGCCCGAGAATACGCCATCGATCAGCGTGATGATACCTTTTCTCCAGCATCTTCAACACATCTACTTCGACTGATCCCCATGATTTACCTCTTCAAGCTGGGCGAGCTTCAAGAACTACAAGATACAGAGCGAGTTCCAACCTTGGGATGCCTTGATGTGAAGGATGCCTTTTTGCAGGTGCCACAGCAGGAGCCCTTACGTATCAGTGTTGGAGGTTACCAATGGATTGTTGAAAAGAACCTACCTGGTCAACGTTTGGGGGCAAGAGCATGGTTTGACTATTTGGCTGAGTTTTTGGAGAAGGAAGCAGGCTTTGAGTACTGCGTCCTGAATCCATGTTTGGCGAAGAACGAGCACATGGCTTTGCTGATTCATGTGGATGATGTCATGGTTGTTGGAAGAAGGAACTACATCATGGACTTTTTCATTCCGCTCATCAAGAAGCGATTTGAAATCAGCACAGATTTCTTGGAGAAGGTTGGTGACAAGATGACCTTTTTGAAAAGAACCTATGTGCGAGTGGATGATGGTTTGGTAGTGGTTCCAGGAGGCTACATCGAGACCATGTTGGAGGTTTTTGAAAGTTCCTATGGCCAAGTTCGAGCGCAGAAGGTTCCAGCAGATGGTTCAATCCTGATCGAAGACAACTCAGAGGAGCTCAACATGAAAGATGCAACTTTGTTTAGATCTTTGGTTGGGATGGCGATTTACCTTTCGCAAGAGAGGGTAGACATTGCGTTTTGCGTGAAAGAGCTGGCTTCGAAGATGGCGAAACCGACAGCAATTGGTTTTGCAAGGCTCAAGAAACTTTTGGGATATTTGAAAGCTACACCCCACTATGCGGTGAAGCTGAAGATTCCAGAGAGAGGCATTGGCAAGGTGATCAATTGCGAAAAAGAGCTGGTTTTGGAGACCTTTAGCGACAGCGATTGGGCTGGTAGCAAACAGCACAGAAGATCAACATCAGCGGCTCTACATCTTCTGAATGGAGATTTGGTGCATGGATCATCGAGAACACAGAAAGTCATTGCCTTGTCGAGTGCAGAAGCAGAACTACATTCTTTGGTTTCAGCAGCAGCCGATGGTATCTACATTGCTGGATGCTTGAGTTTTCTCACTGGGCTTTTGGTGAAGCACTACATCCTGGTGGACAACATGGCAGCCAAAACGCTGGCAAACAAAAGAGGAGTAGGACGCATTCGTCATCTCAGTGGGAAACTCCTATGGGTACAAGAGAAAACAGCCAAGGGTGAGATTGTAGTGACCCAAGTCAGCACAGACTTGAATATTGCTGACCTGGCCACAAAGCCTTTGACAGCATCGAGGATGAGAACACTTCTCTACCTATGTGGCATTGTGGACTCCGAGAACTTCGAGCCCATTGGCGAGATTGACTATGAGAACATGCAGACAAAACGAATGGCATCACAAAAGGTTAAAAGATTGGCGAAAGTGATCATGCGACTCATGGTACTTGGTGAGCTTGGAGGAGCTGAAGCTTCACTACTTCCAGAAGGAGCACATCAATTTTGCAGAGCTGAAAATGACCCCAATTTCATGGAGGAGCACTACACTACATCATGGTATTTTTGGAGACAGTCGGGCTTAGCATTTGCATTGGTGCTTGCAATCATTGCAGTGGTTTTGGTTTTCTGGATGGTGAGGGTTTGGAAGCAGCTTCGAAACCTTGCGGAGGCTGTGGATCACATCAACAACACAGTGATTCCACGACTGGTTCAGAGCGATGTGGATGATTGCATTGAATCACGAGATGGACTTCAAGGTCTACGAGGTCATGTGGATCGAATGCAGGCTACGAATGGTGAGGCCTTTCGAACGGTGAGTGAGGGAATCACCAAAACTCACAACCTTGCTTCACAGTTATGGCTTGGTTTAGTTCGCTTGGGTGGCTATGTTGGAGAGACAGGAGAACCTCTTGATGAAGAAGAACTTCGATCTTTGCACTGGCAAAACAGAGAGAATGCAGATGATGATGCACGCATGCGAGACGGTGGAAGCAGGAGATCGAGGTCAACAAGCAGACATGCCACACCACCTCGAAGAGGTGGAAGCGAAAGTGGAGAAGAAGAAATCCCGGTGATTGAATCACCAACAGAATATGGCCCACCTGCAGTAGTTTCAGAACCTGAGCCACATCCTACACCAGATCGAGAAGTACATGCAGAAGAAGCAAACACATCAGACGCCATTGAGCAAAGCTTGCAGGAGGAGGCAGATCGCATGGAGAAGTTGGTGAAGGAATTGAAACAACGAAGGGAAGATGCAGCACTTGTAGGAGACGAGAACGAAGTTGACAATTTGACAGTTGAAATTTCCCATGTAGAAAACCTACAACTGGGATTGCCGCGACCTAGAAACGTAGGTTAGCAATTTTTTTGGCCATTAATGTTTCAAGTTGGATCGTTGAGCAACAATAGCTCAAAGACCCAAGGAGGAGTGAGAAACATCAAACGTATGACTCACTGCATGGCCACATGTGCAAGGATGACTGCACAAATCAAGAAGTGTAACATGACATGCAAAGCATGTTGGACCACTGCGTACCGCAGCCCCTTTGGCAAAAAGCACGACAGCTTCGCATTTTTGTATGTTTACCAGAGGGTAATGAGGTTACGAACTCATTTTTCAACAGTGAGATCTAATACGTGGGGACTTCCAGGCCGAGTCGGCGAAAGGGCCAGGCTGGACCGCATCCCCTTCGTGATCTTGTGGATGGTTTTTTTGGCATTGGGTTTACCTATCATGGATACATCATGTTTTATGAATGTCATATTATGTGTAGACACCTATGGTGGCAAGAACTATCCCAATGCCATCCGGGATTGAACTGATCAGATGTTGGGTGTACGTCTAGAAACGTGGTATGTCATGTGTTTTTTTAAGCACTTTACAAGCATCATGTAGCTCACACATGATCCGAATAAGATAGATATAAACATAGATTAGTCTAAATTAGCCGCCTTTACAACCAACAAACACACACACAGATAGATATATATATATATACATACATACATACATACATAGATTGCTTTGATTTTCCTAGTTTCCTAGTCTTGGTTTAAGGGATTTGTAGGACACCTGGTATAGTTTGGCCGCCGCCAGGATTTCTGGTCAAGTCTTGCCTCTGAACCCAATAATTACAAGCGCTTGCTTGTTGCTTCAATCACACTTCTTTCGTAGAAATCTCATGAAATCCCAATTTTAGTTTGTGAAAAACCAATCCGACAGGAGTTCGAAGGGATTTCGAAGGCCGTTTTTCCATGTTTCAAACGCGCCAACGTTCGTCGAGGTTCTCTTAGGAGGCGCTCCTTTCGAGTATCGCGAAAGGGACCGCCTGAGCGCATCACTACAAGGAGCGCGTGGCAAGTGCCGCAAGGGGCAGGGCTTGGTGATGAAAATTTATGGCTGGGAGAATCAGTAAGTTGGAAAAATGATGGATAATCATATCAGTATTTATTATTAACCATCATTAACCATCATTAACCATCATTAACCATTATTAACCATTATTATTAACGGATAATCATACAATTCCAATTTTTTATTTGGATAATGAACTAAAATGCTGCTCGAACGTTGGAATTATGAATTAGAAATCCCAAAGTTATTCTGCCAACCAGGATTGAATAACTACTAACCAGTTGCTATTTTATTGGAATCATAATAATTGAGAAATCCAACTTCGGGAATTCCAAATGAATCAGCTAGGGGAACAATGATCCTAGCGGTCGAGAATGGCAGCAAAATTGTGGCTAATCACAATCCCCCCATGAACCAGGTAGTAGAATCAACTCTAACTCATTCACGAGATGCCGCTGACACGTGGAACATGTCTTGCAACTGGGATGTGTCGTTTCTGTATCGTTTCTGTTTTGTTTTGCTAAAACAGGGATAGCTACAAATCATCCAAAACATCATCCTATTTTGGTATTGACACAAACATGGAAGTTTAGGGTAATCATATGCTAAACTTTACTAAACCATTCCAGTGAAATACACCTTTTTAGTGTGGACATACTGCATTTCCCATAAAAACTTCAAGGAATATCAGCCCGAACGCCTCGGCAGGGCGCAGCCCCATGTACCGAAGTGCAAGCACTGCGTGGCCGGAAGGTGACCTCCGCCGCGCGCCAGTCAAAGAGATTTTCCTATGAAGCATTGGGATCACACAAAAAGCAGGGATTTATATATATAATATATATATGGATCGATATCATCAGAAATTGGGATTCAACCAACATTTGGGGGTTTGAAGAGCCAGAGAATCGACCAAACCTCAGCACTTGGGGTTTAGCCATCCAATGGGGCTCTGATTTCCCACGATGCGGATGGATAGAACAAATCACGTGAGGAACATCCGCAAGCGAGGGATGCCAGGGTGACGGACCATGAAAAGGTGGCCCATGGCCCCTTCCTGAGGTGTGCCAAGTGGAAGTTTCTCCAACTTTGTTGGCTGCCCCAGAAGAATTTCCGGAGTGGACGTGTTTCGACGTAGCGGGTATGCTGGGGTGGTGGCTTTACCACCAGCCCTAGATTTGACCGTTTGTTCTTGGTTTAGAATAAACAGAAAGTTGGCGGCTGATCTCACAACGGAACCCAAAGCCAAGGGCACGCCCAACCGAAGACCCTTGCATTCTACGACCTCTTCGTGCTGCGCTTGGATCGGGTTTCGACGGGCGTTCTTCGCCCATGAAGTCTGGGTGAAACTCATCAACACTTCCAATATTTAGCAACAGAAAGGTGACGTGTTTCTGAGGTGAGCAGTCAGCATGGCCCCCCAAGTTTGGATGGTTTTGTTCAAGTCCAAGTGACCAATTTGGGCATGGAAGCAGCGATTGGTGGGTCGAGGCCGTACCAGCCAAGTACCTACAGCCAATTTGGAGGCTTTGGGATCTGTGGGACAATGGGGGCATCCATGCGCTTTCGGGAAGCCATAAACTATACCCCATTGTCGTTTTACCATTTGGATATCTGAAATAGTTTGATACACCTTGAACTTGGAACGATAGGCTTTATTTCACCAGTTCAATGCAATCCACATCATTTGTGGCTGCAATCCACCGTTCATCCCAAAGCAGGTCATCAGGGTGACACCACCCCAAACCCCAGGATTGAGAAAATTTTCCAACATTGCCAAATTTTGGGGTATTTCCATGGTATTCCCTATTTTTGGGTACCATTTGGCCACAATGATTTCTGGTTGGTGCTTTGGAACATGAATTTTATTACTTTCCATAGATTGGGAATTTCATCATCCCAACTGACTTTCACTCCATCATTTTTCAGAGGGGTAGGGCTCAACCACCAACCAGATTATTATTAACCATCATTAACCATATAATAACCATGGTGTTAACCATTATTAACAGTATATTAACCATCATTAATCACCAATAGCTATTATTAATGTTAATTAACCATCATTAACCATATAATAACCATAATATTAACCATCATTAATGTTCACTATCCACAGTTAATACTGTTCTTAACCACCAATAGCTTCCCACTGCCAATCCTTCCAAGAATTTTTTTCGAGGAGGTGCAACGGAGTCGGGAGAGTCGTCCTTGAAGATTTACAGCGACCTCTTTGAGGAGGTCCGGGCTATGGCACGTAGACGGGCTAGCGATGGTAGATACACATAGCAATTTTATATGATGCTATACATGTATGTATCTACATAGAATTGACTGTGTATATATATATATATTTGATATATATATATATATACACATTGTATATCTCTATGTGTACATGTAAACATACTGTGTATATATGTATATTCTATCGATGTTCTACAGTAGATACCTCATGATCAGAGCAGAACCGCACTTGCTTATCAGCTAGGAAAAAAGGGCCAGCTGAGTTCGGCACCCTGACGAGTTCAGCCCAACTTCCTTGCCTTAGCTCTGGAAAATCACATTTTTTTTGTGGTAGAGCGTAGATCATCGAAGTAAATGGCTTATTTTCCATAGCTATGTTAAATTACGAGAGGGTAAATCTTTGTTTTTTCGCTGGCAATCTTCCGCATCTGTTTAGGTGACTGCTTTCAGGTAGACCACAGTGGAAAAAATCCACGGTAAATGTTTGAAGATAGGGAAGCTGCAAATCCTACTGATCATCATTCTCCCCACTAGGAGATAAAACACGACCACAAATTGGCAAAGTTCCCTTTTGTATGGGTTGTATCATTTTTTTTTGAAGAACTTGAGGATTACTATTCCATTTTGGGGTGGTTGATCATCATTTACTCTACATTTTTTATGACCTTCATTGGAAACCCGCCCTTTATAATCCTTTATATATAATATAATGGTTGATCAGCATTTAGTGACATGAACTCCACGTTGGAGGGTCATTCCGAGCATTTTTTCTGGGAGCTTTTCGGAACTGTTGCGCCCGAGGTCATTGAGCGCGACCGCGTCTTTGGTCCGCTGCTGCGTAAGGTGAAAAGTGCTTATGACTCCATGCTACACCAGGTGCGACGATCGCTGTCCGCAACGGCGGATCTGGTTCAAGTCGCTGATTCAAAGGGCACATTTTGACCCAAGCCGTTTTTTTGTTTTGTACATGTTTTCCAAATTTGATGATCAAAAAAATCAAACTGTTGGTGGTTCTTCGGGTCCTCAAAAAGATCGAACATTGTACCGTCAAAGCAGTTGGGATGAGTTTTCTCGAGGATTTTCCCATGACAGCTGGCAGCTGGGTCTGAAAATGGGTGACGTACCCCCTGAAAGTTGATGGTTTTGACTTTTCAACCTCATTTTGGCCTTTCAAATCGCCACAACTTGGGGTATCTCCAGCTGCTTTGGATCCACAGGAAGTCTCCACCTTTGCTCCGCTCGATGGCACCGCAGGTGCGAGGGTAGAAACACTCAGCAAGACCTGCGGAGATCACTTTCTGATCACAGATTGACCAAGTGATGTAACTGATGATGGGTGGTTCATTGCAAGCAGTTTATTGAAGGGGGTGTATTGAAAGTGGTTGATTGAAGTGGTTCATCTTGTTTTTCAATGATTCGGATGATCAAGTTCTGGACCAGAAAGTGAGCAACACGGAACTGGCAAAGGGGCCTTCGCAGCTGCTTAAAAGACCAGAACATCTATACAAGGGTCCCAGCAGTCAATGTGGATATCTAGCAGCAGAAACGATGGTTAATAACTCCCACTGACTGAGGATTGCACAGCAGAGAGTGAAGGAGCACCCGAAATCCATAGGTTTCCCTTCTGTGAGAGTCTCCGACCCCAAAACGAACGCCAGGCAGTTTACGCGCCAGCCATGAGCCCAGGGGTGCTCCAAGATGGGCTCCAAGATGCTGTTCTGTTGGAACCCAATAATTGGTTGCCCTCTGGTAATCTATTATCAATTATTAGTATATTAGTATTTATTAGTAATCTAGATTACCATAGATTACCTATTAACCATCATTAACCATCATTAACCATATAATAACCATGGTATTAACCATTATTAACAGTAGATTAACCATCATTAATGTTCACTATCCAAAGTTTTCATACCGTATTGATCACCATTAAATCCCATTAAAGCCCATGAAAACTCATATATTTTTCAGAGGGGTAGGTCAACCACCAAGCAATATTTCATAGAATTGGATGATGGGAAAATTTTAACCGGAAAGCCCGATCAATTTGATGGTTAAAACCATATAAAACCATGGTTTCCGGTTAAGATTTTCCCAACAAAACCAATCCAATGAGTATTGATTTCTTCATGGCCCAATCGTTGATAGATCAGCCGTTCCACGGCCCGTCAGGTCGATCCTCAGAACCCACCATGCGGGCAGAGGCGCGGCTTATCGCGGCTTCGTGGAGAAAAACCTTGACCCATTGGATGGCGACACCCAAGTGATTGAAATCAGAAAATCATATGATATGATATGTTTATGGGATCTGTTCTGGATAAAACATGATAAAACCATTTTAACATATTGGAATGTTGTTTATGGTTTAAGCATTGAAGATGTTTGGGGTTGCGTATTTTTGTTAGGCTCTTAAGGGATCTTTTTGGCTAACCATCAATATTTGGAGAGCTGTGGGGACCCAAGAATGGTTGAAATGCCAGAAACTGGGGTAGAAAAAAATCCTGCGGAGTACCTTAAATCCCGAAGCTGTTTTGAGTTTTGACACATTTCATGGGGCAATATTTTAGGCAGGCAGTCAGTTTTTTTTTCCCTGCAGTTTCTTGTTTTAAACCATTTCAACTTACTGTAAGAAGAAAATGTAAGTCCTGGTTTCAAACCTGTGGCTAGCACAGAAATTCGAGACACATTAACACATATAATATAAATAATGGTCCAAAGGTTATGGTTATTCTAACACAATTCTCCATCCCAATAACCTTTGGACCAATTGATAACGGTACTTTTTTTTAAAAAAAAATCTTTTTGGGGGTTTACAATGATAAGGTTTAACCATTGAACATACGGTGATTTGATGGGATTTGAATGGGGATATAGTCTATAGTATCATTTTTTTCAATGACTAATCAGCTATAATCATCAGATACTTGGATATAACCCCCAGAGGTTTTGGAATCTCTATATTGGTTATAGTTGCTTACATAACTTGGTGATATTTTCTGTTTTCGGTATCGTTTAGAACTTTTTTATGGTTCCCATAACCCCCTTGGTGATCCACCAGAGTCACCAGAGATCCTGTCCTCCTTGGGCCCCCAAGGGGCCCCTTGGGCCCAACTGGTCAGGTGACGACGTCGGAGCCCTGGGAGTTGCACCGTGAAAACCAGGCTCTGAAGGATCTCATTGAGAGGCCAGGATGGGCACACTTGGGATGCTGGAGAAATCCTCAGATGGAGATTGAACTAAGAAAAGATCTATCACCAGTTCTATCCCCATTTTCGTTACTCCTCCTTTCACCGGTCTCCCACAGGCTTCATATGGAGCTGGAGGAAGCGGTGAAGCGTTCCTTACCGAGACGCTGTTATGGGGAGATTTCACCATGAACATGGGGGATTTCTTATGATTTAAGCATCAACAATGGCAGAAATCATGATAAAATTCTATGATACTGGGAAAAATAATAATTGAAATAAACACTTGAATTATTTGGCAATGATTTTTATAAGCAGATGATGGGCTAATCAACAATGATCTGAGGATATATATATACATACATACACACAAATATTTGGATATAATGATGATTGGATGGATGATCAATAAGTATATAAAAGAACCTAGAGGTATTTTTTACTAGCAGGAATTCACCATAATTGAGATATGATGATCATGATGGGGGTACATTGGGACAGAACCGTGTGAGATTTTGGGTGTTGTTGCCTTAGGGTAGCTCAGGAACCTGACACTTCCATGTCAGAGGGAAAGTTTTGCATCATCCTTAATTGGTGGCGTTGCTTTGGTGGCCAACACAGTTATATTTCTATGCAACTTGTTAGTTTTTTCTTGGTTTCAGCTGTGGTATATCTGATCATTGTATTGTTCATCACAACCTCAGGCTTATTCGAACAATTGCCATTTCGTTTGCTAAGCTCAGTTCTCATTTTGTCATGGTACATGTCATGTCTCAAAATTTGAGTCCAATTGTTTTTTTTTCTGTAGGTATAGATATGATCTCAATGTTTTACTCGTTTTACTTCATTTCTAACGTTTATTTCTAAACATCTCCATGAATTTAGTTCAATTCAGAGTTTTTCTTGGTAAACATGTTGTTTCTTTTAGTTCAAGCATCATTTTTTTCTTGGCAAGCCTATAAACGCCTATAACTGTTTCAGTTCGATTCTCAATATTTCTTAGCAAACGCCTCAATTGCTTCATTTCAATCCTCAATTCTTCGATTTTTAAACCTCTCCATAATTTCAGTTACAAATTCTCAGTTGTTCTTGTTAAATGGAGGTTTCCCAAAATGGGGGTACTTCAAATTCATCCATTTTCATCATATTTTCCATTAAAAAACCCAGATCTTCAAGAAATGTCGCTGCGCCACCAAGGAGAGCAGCGCTGGAAGACCAAGGCGGCCAAATTGAAGGTGCCAAGAGTGTAGATGGACACTGTGATGAGGAAAGTGGATCACTATGGATTAGTTATATTGATTTGTACAGTATGGATTGATTGTGATTTATATGGGTTTATAGTTTATAGTGACTTATAGTGATCTGTATTGAATAAACTGGTTTATATTCATCAATTACACTTTTAAAGATCATTTGTATCGATTTATGTCGATATATATATATTGATGAACAATGAGATGAGCAAAGTAATGTTCACATTACATGGGTTTGGAATCGTTTAATATGTACATGTGAATATATATATATATGTACATACATATATCTATAATACCACATATGATTTAATGAATGATGAACATAGTGATACTAAAAATAGTAAACAACATGAATCATTTTTTTCCAAGCAGAGTCATATCCAGAATACACCAGAAACACATTCGATGGACATGTCTTGTAGCATTTCCGGGACCTGTAGTGGCTGTTCGAAGCATATCATGCAATGGAAGAGGTTGACATACACACACACATACATATATACATGTATATATATATATGTGTTCCGTTAATGATTTTTGCTGGCTCAAATATCTCTCTAGATATCGGCGACTTCAGATCTTCCGTATCAACATCCTGCGAACAAAAAGTACTCACAAGCCTATAGCTCAATGGGTGAGACATGTGCAAATCATCCAACATCAGTTCCGGATGATCTCATCATTGGAGATTTTTGGTAGGTGAATCCCTCTTTTTTTTCTGGTTGGTGGTTTGGAACATTTTTTATTTTCCATATTGGGAATAATCATCCCAACTGACGAACTCATATTTTTTCAGAGGGGTTCAAACCACCAACCAGTTTTGATCGTGACATATTTTTGACCGGTCACCGTCGTCACCGTCCTGGCCATCACCATGAAGCTGGTGCTCCAGCGCGTGACGCGAGCTTCGGTGCGCGTGGACGGACAAGAGATCTCCAGCATTGGCCAAGGTGCATGGTGAGATGGGAATTGGGTCCCAAGTATTGGATAATTCAATGGATTGGTTTAAGGGAAAATCTTAACCGGAAACCATCGATTTTCCCACTAAATATGGGGCTTTCCTGTAAATTTTCCCTTAAACCAATCCATTGGATAATTACTTGGTGGCTCATCCCAGTAAGTATAAGCCCAGTTATAAGTGAATTAACCCTACTTATCCCATTTATAACCAGGGTGATATAAGTGATATACTACTAAGTATGGTAGAACGGTCTTACTATGGTGAGTACCTGGGGGCCGGTGGGTTTCAGTATTTTTCTATGATCCCCTTATGTCTAGTTGATCTAGTTATAGATACCATGTCTATAATAATATGATTGGTTCAGTATCATCCTCGAGTGATCCTCCGAGTTCGTGGCTCCACGTAGGCCTAGTCATTTTGCTGGGCATTTGCGCTGGGGATGACATCCACTTGGCGCAACGTTTGGCGGCCAAAGCCTGCAAGCTACGGCTCTGGGACGCCAGGTAAGAAACTGGGCGAATTCGAATTGACATGCTTGGTTTATGATGGAAAGAAAAGGTGGGTTACCTCTGGATTTTTCGGTTGGTTACTTTGCCAACTGGTGATTTGTGGTGGTTTTCTCTCCGGAAAGTGGATGTATGTGATGATGTTTTCATGCACAGTGGTCAGTTTGCCAAGTGGTATCACTCAAAAGTCAGCACATCGACGGCCTTTTTTGAACAATCTTGACCCCTTGCGGTCAGATTTGTTTCGATGAGTTTTACTGTTTTTTGAACATATCTCAAAAGTTCGTTGAACCTCAAAAAGCTTACCCTCTGGTAATCTCACATAGCTCTCAAAAATGACCGCATTTATAGATTACTTAATATCATTATTTACCTACTCAGATGGCCCAGCACTTAGAATATATATATATTTTAAACCACACTTAGAATATGAGCTTAAAAGTAATATCTTAGAATATGGAAGTTTGCACTTAGAATATTTTTGACTTTGCACTTAGAATATGGTACTGTAAGAGAACATCTTAACAACAATATTGAAAAAAAACATGGTTTTTGCACCTAAGATATAGAAACACCTTGCAAAAAAAAATCACATGAGGATTTTCCATAGCTGTGGCACCACCGGAGAGAAGCGCAGCTGGCAGGGATGGAACGAAGGCCTGGGCATCTTCGGTCCCTTGTCGCGACGATCACAACACTGCGACGTTGATCTGACAGGATGGTGGATGTAAGGGGTAACTATCCCACAATTATTTTAAAGAAGTGAAGTATAACCATATCATAATATCCACATGTACAATATATATGTATATATGTACATAATTCATATGTGTATATACAGATGTATCTCATACATAAAAGGCTGTATTTATATAATTCATTTTTTTTTCCCACCGCTGATCAGATTTGGCTTGGCCATGCCATGAACAGCGGCAACCCAGGCCCGAGACAATGGCTTTTCGGTTATGGTGCCTTTGCAAAAGTTTGTCGTTAGCAGTTTTTTTTCTGCCGCCAAGGATCTGGGTAAATTATAACGAGCTCACTGCGACCTCACTGGGAATCATGGTTAGTAAGGGGAATCATCCCCAAATGGCCTTAATTCAGGTTAGTGAAATATTACAATTTGTATAGAAGGATGATGATGATGATGATGATGATGATCAACATGTAGCAACATGTTCTGGCTCCAACCTATTTTTTTTTTGGGCATGGCACTTCCCATGATCTCGCAGGACTCGATGGCACGGCACGTTTTTTTTTGGGACGGGGGGAACAATCCAGCGATTTCAGGCGATTGAACCGCCAGCTAGGCGTGATCGTTTTCCATCAAACATGTTTTCCAAAAATCGCAGGCGGTAAACAAAAGTCAACTTTGGATGCTTCCAATCCTTCCATGGTTGGAAAATGAAAACTTGGTTGATCTTGGTTGCCGGTCAGAAATGTCAGAATGTTTTCCCCCAGAATGGAATGCTGCACTATCCAAACTGACAAATCTTGTGGGTTTCAATCCCGTCAAGTTTTGTCCCAGGGTACCATCATGAAGATCATGATGGGTCCATCGAAACACGCATTATACTAGTTGGTTGATAGGTTTCCCTAATATGGGCTATAATATGCCATAATAATCCCCCAATAAATTCTATAGGATTATATAGGTAGTATAACTCCCGATTCCAGAACCAATCAACCAAGGTGGTGAGTCAGTTCACTCTCTTTGCCACCTTCAAGGGTCTCAAACCCAACTTCAACCGGGCCCTACCTGGCGACGAGGATGGCAACGGCGGAATTCCAAGAGAGAAAGAATAGACAAGGGGAGGGGCCCGGGGAATGAAGGAGCAATAAGTTGGGGAATATTTTGGTCAGCAAATGAGGAATGCAGGAGAAAATCAGCAAGAAGTTTCCATAGAAACGTGAAACACATGGGTTTTTAATTGTGGAAGTAAAGTGGGAAATCACTTGCGAATACAGGGAACCATAGATTTTGAATCAGAAAACCCTCGGATGTTTCGGATGTTTCGGATTTTCCGGGGAGCTTCGCTGGCCAACTCATCTCTCGGCCGCTTGCGGAGGCGGAGCCCATCTATGAGGCCTTTGTCTCCAGTTGTCGAGAGGTCTTGGGAGACGAGATGGTGGCCACTGGCGAGTTTGGTGCGATGATGTGCCTCGGGTGGAGCTGTTGCGATGATGTCACTGCGCCTGCTATGGCATATAACTTATATATATATATATACATGATATTACAAACATATGATATGTATATGTATATATATATAGAGATGTATATGTTATATACATATATATATATATCTAATATAATTGTGTATATATATGTACTATATATGTACACACTGTATATAATTAACGCTAATGACCTGGAACACAATGAATAAATTGTAGGTTAAACGGCCCATGCGGTTGAGGTGTTTTGCTGGGTTCATCAATGCAAAAAGTGGAATGTAGGTCAGGCCTTCCACTGTTGCTCGATGATGTTTGTGCGTCCTGCCCATATCATTCCTGTGATGAGTCAACAATGATAATGATACCGATTGAATCTTGATCCAAACATGAGTACTGTAGTAGCCCTGGGATACTATACATGGGAACACTGGTTGGTTCTGCCCCATCCACTATTCACTATTCTATGTTTGTTGGCTGTACAAATATCACCACTGCAACAAACAACCTAACAATCTTGCATTTCCATATTACATTCCTGGGATGAACCACCAAGAATGTCCATGGCATCTTCGCCCATATACAATGATACATGATTCATTATTCTGGGATGTCATTCACGTTTTTTATTCCCCGACAGCGTAAGATAATGGGGTCTTTAGCCCAGAATAGCTCCGGTGTGCACTGGTGCAGGCGCCGGGTCAGGTTCAACGAGGTTCCAAAAAGGTTCCGGGTCAGGTTCAACAGGGTTCCGGAGAAGGTTCCGGAGAAGGTCGGGGAGAGGTTCCGGGGAAGGTCTGGGAGGTCAAGGTCAAAAGGGTTCCCAAGAAGGTTCCGGAGAAGGTCTGGGAGGGTTGGTGCACACCCAGGTCGGGTTCAACAGGGTTCCGGAGAAGATTCCGGAGAAGGTTGCAGATAAGGTGCCGGAGGAGGTTTTGAGAAAAAAATGTAAAAATAAAACGTTGCGACAGTTGGGATACCACCGAAGCTTGTTTTTTAAATACATTTTTTTTACGCCCATCTATTTGTTCCTTGGTTGCATCCCGATTCCTGGTTTCTTTGTGCTGGGATACATCCTAAGATCCGATATCCGATGGTTTGTAACCTCATAGTTTAATCATTGAATCATTTTTCATGGTCACCATTTTTGTTTAACTCCCACTGTTTGATGGTTGCAACCCAAGAATTCTTGGTTCAACCCCCAAGTTTGGTGGGTAAATATCCCAAGTTTGTTGGTGGTTGAATCTTGCAAAAATGATTGCTGTCAATTGTAAAGTATCACAACATCACAACACAATTCACGATATCACTATAGTTATGTCCAATACAATGGCTGCTCCATCTTTTTTTATGCATTTTTTTGGATGACAAACCCGTCATTCAATCAATCCGATTTTGATCCAAATATCCAGCCTGGATATATTCCAATTACCCTCCGGTTATCAAACATGGCTTGCTGGAAAACCTTCCATTGAGTTCGACGATTTTCCCAACGAACTAAACCTCCATTTATAGTGTGTTCTTCCCATATCTTCCAAATTTATGATTTTCCCAGCTATAAACAGAATTTTCCCTCCATTTACTGGGATTTCCCATGGGAAAAACACACGGTTCGAGGCAAGTTGACCTCTGCAACGACGGCCCCGTGACCGTGGAACTCAGCGGCCTCGGACACAAGGCGAAGGCGGTCGCCGGCGCTACCAGGCCCCGCGTGGCGCGGCGCCTGGGGTGCAGCTTGGCAGGTGGGGCGCGCTGGGTGAGTCAGGGGAGTTCGGAAAAATATGGGAAAGATGAAGAATCAGAGGTTGGACATTTGGATTTGAGATGATTCAATGTTGGAATATCGGCAATTTTTGATGTAGAGCCACTGAATGATGGGATTTAAACATTGAAATTGGCTATAGCTGGAGGTTGGCGACGAATTGAGTGCCTGTTCACGAGGGATTTACGAAGTGATCTTCAGACTTTGGACCCAAATCACCGAAACCCTACGAGACATCTGATTGGGGATGCTAGCCTCAACGTTTACCATCGCCGTGGAAAATCACAATTGTTAATATGGGTAAATCAATCAACTATTTCTATGGCCATTTTCAATCGCTATGTAACAAATTACCAGAGGGTATATATAATTATATGTATATATATATATAAACATGGTTGATGAGTGTGTGCACAATTTTTTCCACATCTTTTCTGCGTTAGGAGCAGGGCTGCTTCAAAGGCTCTGGGAATCCTTGGGACTGGCGCGGATGTCCCAGACGAAGGTTGATGTGGGATTTATACACCCTGGTTGATGAATAGTGCAGTTCTTCAAAAAAATGGGATGATTCAAGGGGTGGTTATCAAATCGATATCTAGGATCCTACTCTTTTTTTTTTTGTTGTAACATTTGCATTCCAGGCACTGGAATGCACGGGATATTTATGATTGTGGCACCTAAATTCTGAACGAGCTGGGGAAAGGATGTCATGGTCGACACTATCGTCATCGGCATTGTCATTGTCATCCATGATAACAGTAATGGCAATAACCGTAAGAATGGTAATGATGATAACAGCTATGATCATCGGAATAGAAATAATACAGTAAAAGCAATAACACCAGTGATAATCCCTCCCTCCATTCATACTTATAACCACTCCCCAGAAACCATGGTTTTGTAGGGCATAAAAACGCATACTTGAGACCATATAATGATTAATGGTGGTGTTAAATATCAACTGGGCATGGGACAAGAATATGCATATTATTTGATTTTTCCATGCTTCAGTCACAATTTTTGATGGTAAAATCCAATATTTTGTTGGTTACCTAACATAGATGTGGATAATCACGTTTCCCATAGGCTTTCCACATCTAGCTCAGTTTATGCTAGGGTAAATGGGACCAATTAAGATTCATCATCACCATCACCATGCCTTCCAGTAGCGGGTCAGGCTACAAGTGGCCCTTTCAGCTGGCTCGAAGCGGCACATTTATGGCCTACCGAAGCCAAGGCAAATTTCTGCTGTGGAAAAAACACACTGAATGTGGTAAAGCCAATGCCATAATTACACAATCCCCAATTTATCAGAAGGTAGTTGGTATTAAGTTATTAACCATCAAAAGTTGGGGCTTGTTATTGGGTGTGATTGGGTTCATATTACTTATGCTCCACATGCTTCACTGTGCGGCTACTAAAGCATCAAATGGTTCATAGTTGAACATTATCTGCTTGCAATGATGGCTACATGAGCCATGACCATTTGCAGCCATCTCTCTCTCTCTATATATATATACACACCCATTTGCATCATTTACGAAGCATTTATAACCATTCTGGAGCAGATATCATTTGACGTTGGACTATCTTTGCGGTTCTTAGGTGCTTGGTGCTTGGTGCTTGGACATCTTCTGGATTCATGATGATTGATGCCTCTTTCATGTGACCCGTGTGGTGCAGGCACATGCAGAAAATGATCTGTACACGTACATTCATAGAATTGGATTATGGGAAAATTTACAGGAAAGCCCTATATTTGATGGTAAAAACCATGGTTTCCTGTAGATTTTCCCTTAAACCAATCCAGTGATACATGTATTTTACATAGCATCTCTCGCAAACTTGGAGGAACTACAGTTGCTGGCCTCCCATACCAGCTACGGTACCTGGGGTACCTGCGGTACCTGCGGTGCCTGTGCCTTGTTGGCAAGGCCTCATGAGTCATCATTCCAGGCCTCATGAGGTATAGGTCACCCAACTTCGGCAAGATGTCATCATTCCATGCAAGCTGCGGTCTGAGAGACCCTACACTTATGGCCCATTTATAGTTACAACCGGTAACCCCAATGATATATAACTGGTTGGTGGTTTCAAACATTTTTTATTTTCCATTTTCATATATGGGATGTTAGATGTCATCCTTCCCATTGACGAACTCCATCATTTTTCAAGATGGGCACATTGCACCACCAGATAACCAGCTGGCAGCTGGCGGGCTCTAAGTGTACCAAAAAAAAACAGCCTCCTTGAGGTACCACTGCTTCGAGCCACCGGATGTCCCTGATCTCCGGCAACGGCGCAGTGATTCTCCGACTCAAAAAAAGGGCTCCCAGCAAGTTGACTTCCGCTTCTATGGGAATGAATCAAAACCTCTTGTACCAGAATGTCCATTTGCGAGCTATTTTGGGGTTCACAAGGCTACAGGCTACGGGTTTCGACCCACACTGATGTTGGATCATATTGACTAGTAGTACCAGGGGGTTAATATCGCCCAAAGTAAGCATCGATGCGCTTACACCGTAGCCGCGTTTAGCGGGTGGCTTGGTTCAGGCACGCTTCTCGTCTCCAATGGCACAGGCAAAGTCACTGGGCCCTTTCTCGTTTGGTCAAGCCATTTTCCATGAGCCAAAGTTTTCCATCAACTGATGTATATATATATAATATGTATATATATATAATATGTATATATATATAATATGTATATATATATATATATATGCATGTGTGTATATATATATATATTATAATACCTATATAATATATAGATATATTTGGATATATAGATATGGAGGATACTTCAGCAATCAACATGGGGATTTATGGGGATGACATCGACCATTGCTGGGTTATATGGGGATATGATGGGATTCGCCATCCTGCGGCACTGGAAAATTCAGTTCTATTTGTATCTGATTGGTGGTTTGGAACCATGGAATTTTATGATTTTCCATATGAATTGGCCAGAATCATCCCAACTGACTTTCAGTCCATGATTTTTCAGAGGGGTAGGTCAACCACCAACCAGTCATTAGTATTAACCATCATTAACCAGATAACAACCATAGTATTAACCATCATTATATGACCATTATTCTCAACCACCAACCAGGTAGAGATGATGTTCCCAGCAAACTGCACCTCCATAGCTAGGCCACGGAGATTTCATCCCCGCCTGTCAGAACTTGATTTTGGCACTTCGGGGCATCGTGGATGAGGGAAACCAACACCACTAAGTGTTGGTTGTTGGTTGAAACCCTTCAAAGATGGAGTTTCTTGTTTTTTCGTATTCCAATCCCTGTCAGACCTGTCAGATTGATCACTTGAGTTGGTTTAGTCTTCTGAACTGATTGTTTTGGATCTAAAATTGCCTGACTCAGCCTATGGCTAATGGTCAGAATGTGTGGCTCCCGAGGTCCAAAATAGTTTGACCCAGACCTTTACTACAAATGGCAATTGCCCCAACCTTCAAATTCCCGAAGTTTCTGAACGCAACTTCATCCTGACCAGGCGGTGCATCAACACCAAGGCCTGCAAGGTCTCTTTATGGGAAAAGACTGGCTGGGTCTGGCTGGGGTCACATCAATTTTCCATCAGTTCACTTCCTTGCATCTCTCACCACTGCATTTTCTGGGGATCCGAAAAAATATCTGAGCAGCCCTGGTGCTCTACCTAGGACCTAGCAGAAGGCTCTGTTCGGACATTAGCTGTTTCTCCCCTCAAAAACACCTCAATTGTCTTAAAGTCCCGAAGAATTTGAGGACATTTGAGGACACCCATCACTCAACGAATGGCATTCGAACTCCAGCATTTACACTGCGCCAGGTTGGATGCCAGTTGACCAGGGTCCCTGGGGCTCAATTTACAGCATTGGAAGCGGAAACATGATGTTCTTTATGATGATCTGATTCCGGGAGCTGGCAACTCTGTTGAGGTTGTTCTATCTGAAATTGTGTGCTGGGGCCGCTTGGGCTGGGATTCTGCTACGACTGAGCTCCGTCATGGGAGAACTTAGGCTATCCAGACTGGGCTTGCCACGAGGCCACGGCAAGTGGTGATGGTGACTTGGATCCCCAAAATCATAGCAGAAACGTCAAATTTTACCAGTGGGCTCAATAGCCACGATTCTTGGGATGGCGCCCAGCCCCAGCTGCCCCAGCTGCCCCAGCTGCCCCAGCTTCCCCAGCGTCGCCACAGGGTGACGTGATGAACCTGCCGGGCGCGAGGCACCGGGGATTTCACCCCAGTATTTTTAAAGCATGGGGATTCGCTAAGCATCGGGGATTCAAATCATCACTGGAGATTTTGAACGTTCATATGGTAACATGAATTGTAACATGAATTGTTTTTTGACTCAATTGCCAAACATGGGACACATGGCAGCATGACTCCAACTTCTACTGCCACTAGTTTTCTCGACAGCTTTCAGCCCAATGAACACACCGGCCATGTCAGCAGAACAGGAAGACCTCTTCACGGTGATCAACTTGCCAAAAAAATTGACACTCAGAACTCAGAACCGGAAAAGAACCACTCTGTTTTTCAGGTTGATTTCTGCAGATGCAGTGGAGATTCACCATTTTCCAAAACATCTCAGTGACATCGCCCATGGCGAGTTCCCATCGCGTCACGCTGTTTGCACTGTTGGCCCTGGCCTTTTGCCGAACTTGTTTTGCGACCTGGCAACACTGTACGGGCCGCCAATCATACCCGATATATATATATATGTATGTATACGCACATATATATATATATATGTATGCACATATATATATATATATTTGCATATATATATATATGCATATATATATATATATATATACATTGATTGTTGCATAATGATACATTTGAGAATTTTGTACCCATATCAACAAATGTTAATGATAGATGAGACTATTGATAGCATTACAAGGAGTACGCCGGCAAGCCGGGGGCGGAAGTTTAAAAATGAAAGGCCTATAGAGCAGAAAACAGAATGTAGATGTGCGACACCAGCCGTGTTGCAGAAACATTTTTTGACGTCTCAGTGTGCGATGCTTTAGCTGCGACAAGGCACACTGCCACGGCCAGCACCGAAAGAGGAGTACCCGTTGAGAAGATATAAGCAGTCAGATGATAATAGTGGGATTATTAGTCAGATTATGTCAGATTATGTCAGATTATCCTGGGATTTTTCAATGGGATTTCTATGGATTTCTTGGATGAAAAAACATGAAAAAAACAGATTTTTCAATGGCCACATCGCTGTACCAAGGTCGGGCTCTCGCTGTCGCCGCTGTCGCCGCTGTCGCGCCGTGTGGCTTCGCTTCCCCGAGCTGCGGCGCCGGGGCCTCCCCTGACGCTCACGGAGGAGAACGTGGAGGCGCGTGGAGAAAAAAAGGGGTGCTCGGGATCGCCTGGAAAGGCCTTTTTAAGGGTCAAAAACAGGGATGCAACCAGCAAAAAAATATGGTGATTTCACTTAAAAATGGAACTTCAAAAGTAAGAATTGGGATCTAACGGAGAAGATTTTGAGAATTTAAGCCAAAAAAGAGATTCATGAAACAAAATCTGAGGATTTAAGCAGCAAAATCATTGGAAGCAACCAAACATTTGGGTCAACTTTGGGTCTGGGTGGTTTTTTGTTTACCTTTCGGATGGGACCGGGTAGACTTGGATATACTCCAGCCGCTTTAGTCGTTGAGTCTTTGGATGGGTATCTTTTTGCCTAGGATTAGCCATGGTTTCTCCTACCAACCAAGATTTTTGAATTGTTTTTTTTCCAATTCTTTAATCATTTTTAAAATGTTCATGGGCTGTGCAAAAATGGGATGGCTTCATGTTGAACCTTGATTCGTGTGGGGGAGCCCAGTGTCAAAAGTGACAGGAGCTGTTTGCTTTGGGTAGATACCGAGGTTGGGAGATATGAAGCATTTGTTATTCAGATCATTTTTCAGACGGAAGAAAACAAGGGTCCCAACTGAATCATGTCCCATTTTCATTATCGTTCCAAGCCACCAAAAGTAACCTTGCCCAAACCAATGGAAGTGGACACGGTACCCATTTTTTTCAATATCTTTGATGGCTTATCCATTGAATAATTCCATATATAATATGATTCCAATATTGCAGGGACAATTTGCAGGAAAACCTATATTTGGCGGAAACACATGGTTTCCGAAGCGGCACGAGGTGGTTCTGCAGGAAGCGCGCTATCATCATCTCCAGAATTGTTTCGGCTATGTTGAGGAGAGTTCGAACCATGGCGAGGTGGTTGGGATGGCTACTCTGTTTATGGCTCCCGGCATGGTGACTGGTGGATCTTCCCAAGTTTCCAAGATAATACATCTAACTTCAAAGAGGTTGATTTCCGTTTTCATTGTCATTTCTGGTAGTTGCTCCAGAATGGGGACTTCAAGAGTCCAAGAATCCATGGGCTGGACAGCGACGGTATGATGAGCTGGCAGTGGCAGTCATCAACAGAATGTACGCAAGACATGTGTTTTGGAATGTTTTCGCATGGTTTTCCCATGAGCATTGTCCCATTGTCCCTTCCCACTTGGTAGATTCTGAACTACCCTCTGGTAATTTAACATAGCTATTGAAAATGGCCATTTATAGTGAGTTTTCCCATTAAAAATGGTGATTTTCAATAGTTATGTAAACGTTTACCAGAGGGTAGGGCTAATGAAGCTGGAATAAAGACGAAACTGCCATGGGGGGAAGCTTTATGAACTAAGGGGCGCAGGCATCACCGGCAAGGCGGGTGGTCAGGTTTTCCACCCGAGAAAGCCATGGGGAAAGCCATTTTTTTATGCCATAAAATATGGCTTTTTTAAGTGGGAATGATGTGAACCATGGGATATAAAAGAGGATACCATATTTTCTTATATTTTCAGCCTATCCGCCACATATCCACATATCCAGGACGGTTATGACCAAACATTGGCCAATTGACCAGTCCATGTCTGCATTCGAGCCATCCCCAAAGTGGCCAGTCCACAGTCCACCGATCCATTGATCTATCCACCAAGCTTTGTGAAATTTCTTCTCCTATACTTCTTCCATGTGCCTGCATACACATTCATATAGAGTACCCTCTGGTAATTTAACATAGCTATTGAAAATGGCCATTGAAATAGTGGATTTTCCCATTAAAAATGGTGATTTTCCATAGTAGTTATGTTAGTTTACCAGAGGGTATATTCATGTGCCTTGTGGGTATATGTAGATCACTTAAATGCGACAGGATCGTCCGACAGAAACTTTTCGAAAGGCGACTACTGGTACTGGTTTGTGACCAATGATTCCTACAATCAGTTGGAACAGCCCGCTATACAACCTGGTCATGTATGCATAATGCGAATATATTATATATGATTATATGATTATATATGTACATGCACGTATACATATATATATACTTGAAGGACGGACCACGGCGGTTAGTAAGTAGTTAGCCCATATGTGCAAGATACAAGTCAAAATCTAAGTAAGGTTTTAAGTGGTCTTAAGTTGGTTATAAGTTATACAAGTAGCTTAGCTTATATGATTTGTTCGACTTACTAACTGGTTATGTTAAGATAGCATGTTGTGTGTCCAAATATTTGAGTTATGGATCTAAATACATCTAAATACCATAATTATTAAGTTGCAAACTCTAAGTTGCCTAACTGAGTTAGCCCACTTACGAGATCAATAATTTTTTTCTTTTTTAAACACACACACACACTATAATTACCTTTCACCTTCAGATTATCCAACAGCATCCTTATTTCTGATGTATTATAACAGCTACTGGTTGGGGTCGCTTTTCCTTCCATCCACTGCGCCACCTAAACTATTTGATATTTGTTGCATTTTCCTTTAGGTTTTGGTGCTATCTTGTCCCCTTTTCTGTGCCGAGTCTTTTTCTTTGGGTTGCGGCTCTTTTGATGTTCTCAAAACTGCACCTTGAATCCAAGAACGAGAATGCTCGAGATGATTTAGATCATGACATCCAACTGTCGGAAAGCCTATCTTAGAAAATATTGGCAAATTGTATTCACTCGTTGGAGGTTGTTGTCTCGGGATCCTTGGGGAATTCGTTTGATATCCCCATTCCTGACCATTCTACAAGGGCTCAGCTCGAGCGGTTGCGAGCGGATGCGAGTCGAGCAAAATCCGGGTATCATTCTGTAACTAGGGGTCAGCTTGGACTGCCATGTTGTAACAAAAAATTACGTCTGTGAACGTTGGGTTCTGCCAAATTGTAAGAAGAGCACCTTGGGCACACCATTCTGTACTTACAGACTCCCAACCCCTCGGGCCCAACCTGAACCTGAACCGGGATATATATATATATATATGTATATATACATACATATATATATATACATACATACATACATACATACATTCATTGATCGCAGGGCTCAGCCGATGCGGCCTGTTTACCATTTTCCACGTTTTTGCACAGGTGGACCTGGTTGAGGTGGAAGGTCCCATGGTTTTCATCCACCTCTACGGTGCTTTCTGGCACAACCGCGCGGACGGGGGGCCGGCGGTGATGGCCGGGGAGGTGGCCGGTGGGGCCCAGATGAGGATGGTTACTATATGTTTACTATATGGTTACCATGGGGATTTACGACATGAAAATGGGTTCAACAGTTGATTGATGAGAGGTAAGTGGGTCGATAAGTGTAAACTAACTGGGGTTGAAAAGGTAGATGCACAGATAGTTAGATGGGCTCAAGAATCCACAAACATAACAGGGGAACACCACTTTGTATGGCAGAGGGAATCAGCCTGGAATTGGGATTTCTTTAAACTTATATTAAATCCAGAGATTGTTTTAGCTGGGAAAATAACCCCAAAATGTTCCACTGCTGCATTTTGGGGAAAATGAATTATAAGAGAGCACCACGGCCAAGTGTTCTGGTGGCAATTCCGGTCGACCGAAAAGGTGGATGAATAGCCCTTGCTGGTGTTATGTCCATATTTGTACACATTTGTTGCTTATGTATATATAGCCTGATTTTTGTTGAAATGTGGGACGCCCAACAATAAATTCAGTCCTAAATAGTCAATACATATGCCAAATTCCTTGAATAGTCCATACATATACCAAATTGTATAGCATTCATGGTTATGTTTGAGTTCCATTTATGAAACAAATCCAGCAGGATTGATTCTTGCCCTGCCTCACTTCGCCCCGTGAGGACGTCTTGAGGCGGGTGAAGTCTCTTGTCCCAGCGATCTGTGCGAGCAGGTCTTGTAAGGAGCATTGCCATTGATAGATCGTATAGTGATTCTTCACCCGACATCTACACAAGACATTACGGATATCATATTTCCATAATATGGCTTTGTACGAAATTGAAACTTTGTATCAAAAAATCAGTTCACTAGGACCTCTAGGAAAAATCAATCTGATATTTTCCAAACTTTTGGGCAGACCGAAACACCAATGCTACTTGAGATCAAAAAAGTGTGGTCGAAAAACTGATATCCCATATTGAATCACTATTGTTGTTTCCATTTTTTTTTCCCGCCGGGATTTCAGCAACCCAAGGGTACCGCGGTACCACGGTGAATCCCTACGTTCTCCGCCAAGGAAATACTTGATGCAACGCATCCCTGAGATTGCGGAAGTGGATGTCTCGGACCCCGAGGATTTGATCGATGAAGGCGATGGCCTCCCGATTTTTTTGGTGATTTTTTGGGTGTTGACTCACGAAAAATGAAAAAATGATGGCTATGGTTGGTTGGTACGGGTCATTTCTTTCCGGCAATTTTGATGTTCAAACGTGGTCAAATTTGCCAACCACTGCAGAGGTAGCAATCCTAGGCTACTTTTGCGTCTGAGTTTTGACCTATACCTAGATGACAAGGCAGGCAATGCCCTTCCAGTTGTTTTTCCTAATGTCTACCAGGGCTGTGTACTGGGGGTCCGGTACCATTTTAATAGCAGATTATGGCTATATGGGGAGGTAACCGCGCTAATGAATCAGCCTGAGAGTGGGCAGCGACAATTGATCTCTAGTGATTGGCGACCCTGAAGGCGAACAGGATGTGTGGGAAGCCGAAAGCGATCCAAAAAAACTATTTGGATGTTTCTCAAGACCGTGGTACGCCTCTTAACAATTGGGAGACTCCCATTAACGTCCCAAATTGACATAGACGCTGCCATTTATTGAAGCTTGGAAGAGTAGTTTCCACCATCCAGACTAGCCATTTTCAAGGTCCAAAAAATAATTCGGAAGGGAAAAAAACAAGGACCACAAGGACCAATGACATCCAGTGACTCGATCCAATGAGGCCCCATTCGGCCAGTGGGTCCGGAAATTTGCAGGTCGAGATCGATCCGGGAAGTTTTACCACTGTGACTTGGACGCGCGCTGTTCACAGGCCAAGTTAAAAAGGTGGCAGGGGATCGGGGATCGACTCATCCCCTGCTAAAATGGTACTGGTGAAATGACCCATCCCCAGATGGTACTACTCGAGATGATGGTGGTTCAACCTGATTCACCTGATTCCTTATATATGGTAGGTACCTCCAATTTAGGATCCTGAAATTCCCATTGATAAATGGATTCATTCCTAGCTTCTGCATCTTTTTTGGGATGCGAAAAGGTATACCGGTTTTGACCAATCCCCACGAAGTGACTTGGGATGGTCAGTTGGTCAGTTCTCAGGGCCTAGCGAGTTGTCCCCAACTTAACTCTGCCTCACAAGAAGATGTTTCACCATGTTTCAGGATTAATAGTGGTTAATCGTATATAGTGACTAATAGTGACTAATAGTGACTAATAGTGACTAATAGTTAGTGTGGGGAAACCCATGACCAGGATTGATTGGGTGCACCCTTCGACAGTCTGTTTGGGCCTCGGACACCCCCCGTCACCGAACCCCAGCCGCCAAGACCGCGATTGAGCCTTTGGCCAACTTGGTTTGGCGATCGGCGAGTGAGCGTAGGTCCAAGTGATGTCAACCTGAAGGCACACCAAAAGTGGGGATGTTTGGGGACGAATGAAGATTTCATGATCATAAATTTCCGGACCTTGGCGATTCTTCATATGTTTGTGTATTTCTTGCTGTAATATATATATATACACATTTACATACACACATAGCTATATGATACATACAACTCATTTTTGCTTGGACTCTTGGTTTCAACGGAAATCATTTGGTCATAAATCTGAGACATACTTGGACCTAATATCAAACATCTGATCGAAACCGGTACAGATCCGGCAATTTTTTTGTCAAGGGGTTGATCCATTTTCACTATGGAGCAAGCCCCGTGCTTCTGTCGAAGTGCTCAGTTGGGCATGGGTGAAATTTCTCCAAGTTTGGACCCTCGTACTGAGAATCACCAACCTTTTTGGTTTCCAGGATCGTAGAGTTTGACCCATTCCCAGTTATCTGCGTCAATTTTCGAATGCATTCCATGTTTACTGCAAAATCCAAGCCGTGCTTCCCACCGTGGATTGACGACACTCAATGCTGCTGTGGGATGCGAAAACCATGTTCCGTGAAGATTTTAGGTACGTAAGACATCAACCGCAGATTGGGGGCCTTCATTTTCAGGACCTCTGCGCTCTCCACATTGATTTTCGTTGGTACCTGAGTTTGACCTACACCCATTGACCACAGCTGGCCATCCCTTAGGACAAGAATGCCCAGACCTGCATACTGTTGGGATCTGGGATGGGTTGAAGCTACCAAGTATACATGGAGATTTTCCCGTAAATGAGGGTACCCCTAAATCATCCATTTATTGGGGATCGTTCATTTAGGGAAGCCACCCCCCAAAAAAACAATATATATATATGTATATGTATATATATATATATATATATGTATATATATATAATTGTTTACGGCTTTGCCAGCCACGCATCCCGCAGCTTCCGGCGCGTTCAAACCCAGCTGCTCTGTACTGCAGAAAAACATTTCGGCGGGGGAATGGGAGTTGGTGTTTTTTTTTTTTCAGGGATTTTTGTTTCATATGGACCTTGGGATTCTCAAGATCCCAAGGAGTATTGGTGGGGTGAGAAGGTGATGGGTTATGGGACCCAAACTGAACTGATCCACCACAACAAAGGCTTCATGGGTGGTTGTTCATCAATTTTTGCCTACTTATTTTGAGGCGCAGGGAATGAAATCATGTCAGAACACTCATTGTATTTGGAACATGTTGGTTGAATGATCCCCAATCATATCATTTCTTGTGGGAGCCATTTGCCGGTAAAATTGCTGCCAACATTTCTGCTATCCAATAACAAGACCCACTATTTGATGCTCAATTCCCAACTATTGTTGGTTACCGGGTACAGTAGATCATGTTAAATCATAAATTTATTTTGTTTATTTATTTTTCTTTCAATATATGAGCATAGAAAAGGAAACCCATGGTAGTAATGATTAGACTCATTTAATAGATTCTAATAACAACAATAGTGCCAATAATAACGGCACCACCACCACCACCATCATCACCACTGCTGCTGCTCCTGCTGCTGCTGCTGCTGCTACTGAGAATGACAATAACAAAAATAGTAAACATGATAACAATGCACACAATGATGACAACTGAGCAACTAAATTCAATACTATGCACGTGACATTATAATCATGTATAATTTATAATCCTAACATGGTTATAAAGCCTATAGCCTATAGTTGTTATATGATATACAAAATTACTATTATAATCCTACTATGCTATACTATATCTTTTACCATCATTGGTCATTGTGGTAAAAACCCTGGGCCATCCCAAATCGTCGTCACAGGTCGGCGGCGGCCTTCCAAGCCAACCGCCGAGAGCCGGTCAGCGAGGTGATTCCTCAACGAAAATTTGATCCTAAGCTGTGGGAAAATGAGGAATTTTTTAGCGGCAAAGCCGTTTTTAGATGTCAGACAATTTTGCGGAGAAACTGGGTATCAGATGGCCAGCAATTGCATTTTTTTTTCAGAGACCTCAGCAGAATCTGAGAGACGACACCTGGGCTTTGTTGTGGAGCATCGTATGATTTCGTTTGCACGCGATTTTTTTTGGGGTCGACGACCATGACGCTCGATTGCTGGGGGCAGTTGATACTATCAAATATTGACATGATCAATGATAAATGATGATGTGCCCAGATGTCATCATCTATGTCAAAGCTTGTATATATATATATGCATACATATACATAAACCATGATACCCTACAAACATACAATTTATGTCTATGTATGTACTTATGATATAAACCAGTGTAAAGCATGTCAAATTCCTCAACCGGACCGGACCTATGGACCGTTCTCGTTGCGGTCAGGTGCAGGCTGCTGATCTGCTGAACCAAGCGCACTTGATGAGTCTAAGTGTCCCGAAGTGAATGGGTAACTGATGGGTCATCCATGAAGCCCAACCCCGAAGGGGGCCCTGCCCGACAGGGACTTCACCCGTTTTCCAATGGCCATGGTGTTTTTTTCTGATTCCGAGTTCATGCCAAACTTCCCACTTCAGATGTTTCTGTCAATACATTACATATCACTACATACAGTACATATCATATATGTATATGTGTATATATGTATAAGTATATATAAGTATATATATATTATATTACATTATATTATATTATATTATATTATATTATATCATATTATATTACATATATTATATTATATTATATTATATTATGTTATGTTATGTTATGTTATATTATATTATATTATATTATATTATTTTATTATATTATATATTATATTGTGGAACATGCATGCATGCATGGATAGATAAATAGATGGATACTGTAGATAGATCGATAGATATATATATATATTTTTAGGAAGAAGTATCTAGGTATGATACCTGCACAAGTTTTTTTTATAAAGGAGAACGTGGTTTGGACATTGGTCATGTGGCTCCAAGGTTCCATTTCCCCACAGCATTCGCAGCTGCAGCGCTCCATGATGGAGCCACTGGATCACGGTGCCTGGGAGGGAAGTGATGACGATATATATATATATATATATATATTGGTAAATTATAACGACCTCACTGCGACCTCACTGGAATCATAGTTAATAAGGGAAATCATCCCCAAATGGGCCGCACTATTCAGGTTAGTGAAATATTATAATTTACCCAGATATATGCACATGTATGTGTATATATGATGATACATGTGCATATATAGACATACATGCACGTTATCTATTGCATGGATTATCTATCTATGCATGCACCTTGTACATGGGGCATGTGATTTAAGATGCGGTGAATTTGAACCATGGCACGGAGAAATGGCACAACTCGGGTGCAACCAGGGAGCAATTCGCTCAACAACTTCTACAAGTCCGCAAGAGATGTGTGTCTGTGTTGTAAACAAGAACACACACACACACATATATACACACATATAATATGTACACATACCAATGTTTGTTTTTAGTTCGCTCACGTTGTAAAAGTGGCAGACACACCACTATTTTACACACTGTAGTGACATAGTATAACCTCTACTTACCCACTGTTCCAGCTTGATGTGAAAGCAAAACTGCTATCCCAGAGAGATGCAGTTCAAATGAGACCCTGGCTGAGTATTGCATCTCGGGGCCCATTTCAAGGGGGAAATCTGTCTTACCAACGAAATTTGATGCTTATCCCAGTCGACTCCGACTGGATGTTTATAGCAAGGAATTCAATATCACATTGGCTGCACACACGCACTTTACTAGTTTACTGTTTCAACCATCTTCAACTCACAGTTTTTTTGATGGGCTTGCAGTTTCACAAATGACATGGGGTAGCCGTAGTCACTAGGGTAATATCCCAACTTGATCACCACAGCACCCCCGAGGGAAATCATCTCTGAATCACAATTTTTGATGGTTAAAGACCTATTTTAGGGATTACATTACCAACTATTTGAGGCTTGGTCACCATCTTTGGTGCTTCACCACTTTTGATGCTGACACCATTTTTTTTGTTTTTGATGGTTAAAGACCTTTTTTTTGATCGCTGTGAAGGGATTAGCATCCAACTCTCCGACCAGGCTCGGCTCGCTCAGAAGATAGTGGTGCGCCGAGCCCCCCCCTGTAGTGCACACGCGTGTCCGCGAGTCTGCTTCCAGACGTATGGTTCCCGTGCTGTTTGTGTTTTTTATTGGGAGCTAAGTAATCACAAAAAAGATGGGGCAGACTTAAGCATCGGAAACTTCGGTTGTAATTTGGAAAATTATGGTTGATGGGTCTACTACCTAGTTTGACGGGGCGTAATTTACCCTGTGAATTCTTGAGAACCAACAAGTAGAAAACGATGATGCACGTTTTTGGTGGGTGCTCAATTCAGGAATCCAAAGTTTGCACAGCGGTGGGATCTATCCCCGCGTTGTTCAACAGGCTATGTGGTGGCTTTGGTTTAACCGCCTATTTTACTTTGGGGATTGATAGAAGCGTCTCTATAAGACTTGTGCTTTAAGTGGCATCATTACCTGATTTAACTCGGAAATCAGATGGCTTTTAGCTGGTGAAACAGTGCTGACAGACGATCTTGTGTTGGGACTGAACTCATGGATACTTATGATTGTTGCTTATGATGGTGTCTTTTTTCTGCAAAGAATTGGAACCCCAAAACTACACGACCCATCAAAGCCGGGCTTATTTGAGCACAAGCCCTTGGGCAGTACACCCAAGCTGAGTCATACTGGGCTTCTTTGAGTGATCACTTGTGATTTGGAAAAATGCTCCGAAATGGTACGAAATGCCTATCTTAATCAACCGGGGTTTACTTTTTAAAATTCTGGATTGACAATTGTTCATTAACCCCAAATACAATCAACCGTGGAGTCCGGTGGGAACCTGGATATGTGGGCAAGCCTTGGGTTCAGCGGGTCATTTTTTTGATATTTTTTGACCATAAATGGATGAATCTACAAAGATCTACAAAGCATATGAACGCTAGTGCGGTAGTGCTTTCAGTGCGCTTGCTCCAGTCGTCGCGGCTTCAGTGCGCTAATCATGGAGCTGAGCTACCAGATGATCCCTGTCATTCCCTGTCATTCCCTGTTTTCTGGCCATTCAGATGAGATTCATTGTGGTACATCATCATTTGCAGAAGACATAGGCATGATAGTACATAATCATGTCTTACATAATATTCATTGTGGTACATAATAATAGAATCTATTTGCAGTGGTCAATTCCCCACTCCCGTTGGTGAAGGTAATCTCGGTCGAATCGACGCTGCATGGAGAAATGGACATGGGGCCCTGGGGCACGAGTAAAAACGCTGACCACGAGCTGTTCCAGATAATATGGCTATATGGCTAGTAATAGTAGCTAGTATGTGAGATGTTTTCAGTAAGTTTGCTCCAAGTTCGATTGTCCATCAACCCCCCCAACTCTTTTGTCGTGAATCGCTACGGTGCCGTGTCAAAGGCCTTTTCTCTGTGCTTCAAACATGTCTTTTTTGCGTGGTCAAAAGCCTCGATCATCTGGTTGGAAAAGTCATTGTCCATTCAAACGCCATTTTTCAATGCCCAAAAATTGAGATATCCCTTACAAGGTGGTGCTCCATAGTTAGCTAAATTGGTGCAAATAACTCCATTTCACTATGGTTTATGGCAGATATAACTATAGTATTCCTGGGGTTTATAAACCAACGTTCACATCACTGGGGGGCACCATCCTGTATGAATCCTTATGAATCCTTATGAGACTCATCTTTAGACCCAAGGCCATCCCCCCGCCATGTCAGAGCAGCCGCGGGCGGAGCCGGCGGAGCCCGCTCACGGCGTGCGGGCGGTGGAGGAATCTGGTCAGGTGCGCTTGGTGATTTCGACATGTAAAAAACGACGAAAATCTGGGGATTCAACGATGAAAAACCGACCAAATCCATGGTGATTTCACCAGCGAAAATGGGGATTTCACCCCCTGGCTTGTTGGGTATCGACCTGCGACTTCACGGATGGCAAAACTGGAACCTGGATCCCTGGACCCCACCTTCACTGGGGTGCAAAACTGGGTAAATTTGTGCTTATTCCGATTTAGGAGTTAATCGTTTGATACTTTGCCCGGATACACGATGGAGGTTTGCTGCTTTGTGGGATAGAAACCGATGGAGACTGTCAACCAGTAAGGGAAACCATCCCAGATGAAATTCGGCTGAGTTCATCCGAATTATCAGGTTTCGGATTATGAATCGCCCAACAATCATCACTATCTGCGGCCAAAAAATATGGAGATTCAACCCATCAACATGGTGAGTTCCCATGGCCCTTATGTTCATACAGATCATCTTCTGGGGTTGCCCAAATTTACCAAGAAGTGATGCTTAACCTCCAAAATGGGGAAATAGAACAGAGCCCGAAACCTCAAGACAGCCTCTTGTCAAAGATGGCTGGCTCTATATATCCATTGCCAGTTGGGATTTCTTGGAGTTCTCTTCTACCATGAAGATAGACCCTACAATTTGTGAATTGTGGAGCTTCCCCGCTCTAATAGCATACACAAGAGATCGCAAGACTGTACGTATTGTACAGAGAAAGCAACAAACCTATCCAATCTCCCTCTGTCTCACTCTGTGTTCCTCTCCCTCTCCATGTCTACATGCAGAGCGATATGATTATGTGTACATTGTGTACATATATATATATATACTTATACATAATTATACATATATATAGAACACACACACATATATGTATATATATATATGTACATAGAGACTATATATACGTGTATATATATATACACACTATATCCATGAATATACTATGTATAATTGCACACTATATGCAGACTACATTTTCAGATGCAGACTATATATAATACTATATATATATATATCTGGATATACAGACAACATTATACATAGATACCGTATATATATATACACGTATATCCATATATGTATACGACACACACATATATATATATATAAAACATACAGAATATATCTATATACATACATACATATACATATATACATAGATACAATATAGTCAATTTCTACCAGATAGAATATTTTAGTTCAAAAAAATATTTTTTTTTGCTTGAACTAAACGCATTTCTAGCAGATAGAATGCTTTCACAGATAGAATATTCAAAAGACCCCGGAGAAAATCATCCAAAAACTTGCATTTTACCAGGTGATTTGAACTAAATCACATCAAAAAAACAAGTTGGAAAAATAGGTTTAGTTCAAACCTTAAAAAAAAAAATAAAATTTGCTTAACTTAAGATAGCTATAGACAGATAGAATATTCCACGGACCCGGTAAAACAACAAGCCGTACCTATGTAAAATGCTTCAAAAAAGTGGGTATAGATAGCCATAAATAGCCACAATGCCTATGTAAAGTGCTTCCACTGAGGGTACAAATATGTCATGAATATTGCACCATACCTATGTAAAGTGAGGTTGACAACGTAGCAACTGTAACATCAACAAAAGGATGATTGCTTTCAGTTCCTTTCATTGTCCTTGTGTTTTCCTTTCATGTTCCCAGCCTATGGTTCCAAATGTTTTTCTATTTCCTTGTATCTATGCTCCTTTCATGTACCTTTCACTTCCTTTCATGTTCATTTCATGTGCCTTTGATTTTTATGTCCTGTCATTTTAGAAAAAAATCAAAACATTTCCGTCAACCATATCTTAAAGGAATGTTAAGGGATTTTAAAGGAAATTGAAAGGAATTATAAGGAAATTCAAGGAATTTAGGGAGTTTTAAGGACTTTGAAGGAATCTTAGAGGAAGTTGAAGGAATTTTAAAGGAATTTGACGGAATTTGAAGGAAATTTGAAAGATTTCAAGGATTTCGGATGATTTTGAGTTTTTTTTAAAGGAATCTTAAAGGAATTTAAAGGAATCTTAAAGGATATTTCAAGGAATCTTAAGGGAATTTCAAGGAATTTAAAGGAATTTAAGGAATCTTAAAGGAATTTCAAGGAAGTTTAAGGAAATTTCAAGAATCTTAAAGGAATCTGA